GAACGACAGGCACATTGTGTCACGGCACAAAAGAGAGAGAAAGAGAGTATGATTCTGTCTTTATTTTGCTTTTGCCACAAGTATCTCACCGGCTGTGTGGCTCTTGAGAAGTTGTTACACCAGAGGGTCCAGCATTGTTCTGATCAATTTAAAGTGTTTTAGTATTCAAGGTGTAGGGAGCCCTCAGAGTTCACTACAGCACAACATGAACGAGGAGGCAGAACGAGAGAAGGAGAAAAGGAAAGGAGTGATGAGTGGGGGTGTGGAAGGAAAGAATTAGAAAGTCAATGAGGCTCCCTTGATAAGTGTGCATGTTTGTGCGAGTGTGTGTGTTTGTCTGCAGCTCTTATCAGTGGTAAAACAGCGTAGGTTAATTCTCATTCAGCAGGGCTCAAAGACGGTGTGTGTGTGTGTGTGTGTGCGCCTGTGTTGGTTTGTTATTTTCGTGCATATGTGTGTGAGTGATGTAGCTCTTACGTCCTTCGGACAAGGACAGTGAAGGTGTTAGGATTTGTCCAGAATAGAGAAGCTCTGTGAATTAAGACAGGATCGTTCACAGCAAAACACTCGGAGATGTAGCCGGTTAAACAGTGACAAAAAGAGCTGCGATTTTACAGCATTAGCATTATGTGCTAAATATGCTTGCGTCTCTACTATAACACACTGTGTGTTCACAGCTATCACCAGCAAGAACAGACTAACAGCTTATTCTCACATTTTTATGAATGAATTATTGCTAAATATTTTGCACGCAGAGCGTTCATATCTGGAAGTTGATAAAAAAACAAAAAACAATGCTGTTGGTAAATTCGCAGTAATAGAAAGGAAAAAGTACCTTTTTTTTTTTTCTTAAGGTAAGCTGTCATTTTAGCATTCTTGACATCAATTTCTAGTCATGTGGTGCTGAGAAGAAACATACGGCCTTCTGGCACTCTTACCATGGTTAGCAAAATAAAACAAATAAAAGTGATGGGCCTTTATATTCCCTATGAATAAAGCTTTAATACGTCCTACCAGGACCTATTAAAGATTAAAGATCTACTCAAGCAAAATCTGTCCTAAATAGTCAGTACAGGGTGCACATACAGTATAGCGCCCCTCCTTCAGTGCCGTATCAGACTTTGAAATTCACAACAACTTATTCTTACCTAAGATAAAAGAGTTTGAACCGTTTCGTGGAATCTCCAGCACTGTTATTTCTATTGGTGTAACAGTGTTGTTAACCACTTGATCACAAAGAAGCTAAACTGAGTCAGTGAATTATTTTGACCAGCAGGTGCCCCGAGTGCATTCCTGAAACCTTGAATGTTCAAGTGGCTATAGAAAGCCTCAATGTCTTAGTAAGTCTTTCCCCTCTTTCATCCAATACTCTTTTTTTTCTTCATATAATCTGCATTTGCCTTCATCTGAAATGTGAAATGTATCCCCTCTTTTGCAAGAGAGAATTCCTTCCATGAAAGCCCAAGTGTGCTTTGATCAGAAAATGTAAAAGCTTCAATGAGCTTTGGCGTCGAGGTAAATGCTGCTGACTCATACCAGTCTGTGATAGAGATGGAGGTGAAATTCTGATTTATAGTCACTATGTCTGTCCATCAGCATGCAGCTCAAAATAACACTTTTACTTTGACCTCATTTTATGTTGTTCTCCATTTTATGTGCTAGGCACTGTTTTTATAAGGACGATATTACCACCATCTGTGTTTCTGCCATCAGAAGGAGCATCAACGGTTTAATGAAAATTATATTATCTCCAGATATCTTATTAAACCACATTCTGAGGCCACCTCCTAATGTGCACTCACAGGCATTCATCCTTCATGTTGCTTTCTCCTTCTGTGTGTTTACGAAATACTATGCTGTTATACTTCCCTATTTTATTTTTATGTATATTTGCTAATGTTCCGTATTATGATAAATTGTGTGAGAGGTTTGAAGGTAACTGACTGAAATATTTAATCTGGACATCAATAATGTGTCCAAACAGCGACAGTATTTCTAAAGCCAACAAACTGCCATGTTTGTCACCGACTCGAAATAGGTGGTTATCTTTTTATGTGCTCTATTTTAACATGACTGTATAACAACAAGTTTTTTCGTTGTTCCAACCTCATTGCGCTTATCTTCCCTCTGACAGCCCAGATGTTGTAGCTCTGGTGCAGATTGGAATATGCTTCCCCTTGTTTAGTTCCATCTGTTGCTAAACCACGGTGTCCTGTACTACGGAGCAAACCAAAATAATAATACAAATTATAATAATAAACTCTCCTAATGTACTTTAACTTAAGCAGCAGTCTTTACTTGCAGTGGATGGCCATTGTCATGACTCTCGTACACTAGTGTGTGTGTGTGTGTGTGCGACTGTGTGTGAGATAGATGGAAGTGGAGTTTAGGTCATCTGTGCTATCTGGGCACTGCCTTTAGATGCTCTTGGGCTGTACAAAATAAATGACAACTGTGATGAATGAGCTGCATTTCACACTCTGAGACTGCATCTGGTATCACAAGGTGTGCACACACACACATACACATGCTGTACTTTTTCTTTTTTACTTTTGTCCTTTTTTGAAGCCAGGGCTTTTTGATGATGTGTGAAGCTGAATGAGCGTGTGTGTGTGTGTGTGTGTGTGTGTGTGTATGTGAAAGCTGAGTGAGAGCTGTAAAGGACTCTAAATGTCCAGCAGAAGACAATTGCTGACTCGTCCACAACTTTCTACCCAAATATCAGCCTCTTTTTTCATCTCTTCTTCCCTTTGACAACCACGTCTGTCCTCTCAAGAGCGGACGTAGAGTAACCTTCTAAGCCAGACAAAATACCAATCAGCTCTCACCTTTCTTTTCCACATTACCTTCTCTGATGACCTCACAAAAAACAGATTTCTTTAATGCTCACACAGTCTTGATCGATCTGAAATTTGTTCATTTTCATATACCCACTTTCCCTCAACCTGCCTTTTCCACCTCTATTTTAGTTAGTGATTTTGCACATTTTATAATATCGTACAATTGTCTTAGTCATCCAGGTTTTAAGATGTCAGAGCAAATTAAAAACAATTCACTGAGTTTCCTGCTGGCAGCGAAGAAAGCTAAAGAAACGGGGCCTGATTGGAGGGAAGGGATGTTCGGTGACACCACTTATCTGCTGCTACAATGTTGCTAAAACGTCATTAGCTCGGCTGTTTTCGGACATACCTATAAACCCAGTCCATGGAAGTGGGGGCCAAAAGGAAGATGCCCTCTCCGTAGGAGTTCTCAACCACCCCCTCATCCACGGGGATAACTTCAGATGAACAACTAAAGGTTGTCCTGTAGATTTTTCGATTTGTTCTGACATGCATTTTCACGGAATTACTTTTGTCCACCCTCAGAGAACAGACATGAACTTGTTGCATTCAATTGTGGATGGCTTGTGTGGGTGGAGAGAACAGTAACTGATAGCATAGTAAGAGCAAGACATCAAGACGAGTTTCAGTAAAGAGAATATAAGATGTGCTCCTTGAATGCAGATGCTGCTGTTGGAGAAACTGGTGTCTCTTTTGCTTTTACAAGCTGAATTTCCTCCCTGTATTATTGATCACTGCAGCATAATTATGATTTTAGAATGAATCAAATGTTTCTCCTCCAGATAGACTGAACCCAGAACTTGATGTTTGATGTTGAGACTGAATAGATGTCAAACTCGTTTCTGGCTGCACTGCAACTTATTTTTCAATGTCTGTGGCTGATAATATCATGAAAATAACAAAAATACACCATGTACAAAATAGCTCAAGACGGGGCAATTGCATCACCAAAGGTTTTTTCTTTTCCATGAAAATGTTTTTGAGGGAGAATTTTCCTTTCAACTAAACCCCCAACACATGACATATCACCGCAGCCAGTGACCATGAAGGTGACTAATACCAGTTGACGATGGTTCTCGTTCTGGGAGGAGATGGACCTTGTTATGGACGGAGCATGGTTTTGTAATGTGGGGTGCTTTCATTAAAACAGCCTCCTGCCTGAGAGTGAAACGTGTAATGAGGGAAGAGGAAACCTACACATTTGCAATCCTGCTGAAACAAATGAATGTGTAAGAATCAGAGAGACTGAGATTCACACAGAAGTGCTCGTGGAGAGTGAAGAACACAGCACAAGTAAACAAGATTATAATAGAACGGCAGATAAAGAAAATAAAAAAAGGCAGGTGAGAGAGGATGAGCAGAGGACGATGGTTCAGACTTTAGACGGGCTTTTTATTGTTTTTGCCCTCCTGGTGTGTCACCAAGTGTCAGCGGATGCCGTCATCAGAGCTACAATTTGCTCTCAACTGACAGTCTGTCACTCACACACACAGTCAGGTGGACAGGCTAAAGTGGATCTGAGGATACCAGCCACGTCAAGTCTGCTCACTTACTTTGATCTCTTTCCCTTCTCACTCCTGACATGACTCTTTCTTCCTCATACATATACAAGATATGTCAAACAGCTTGATGAATTGCCTTTATTAGATAGCAGACAGCAAAAGTGACGGGAAACAGAGAAGCAGCATGTGACCAAGGTTACAAGCCAGACTCGTGGCTTCATGCCATGTGTCTCACATCACCACCAGGACGCCCCTCGCTCTCACAGCTTTGCCCAATTAAGAGTTTCTGTGTGGCCTGAAAGGTTGTTGGGGTGTGTAGTCAGCAGATTGCTGTTTAGTGGAGGTGCAGTGTGTATTATTGGGATGGGGAGAGGGCATCGATCTCTATCAGTACTCCCATAGGATAAATCCACCCACATGCGCACACACAAACACACACACACACACTTTAATTGAGCTCAACACCGTACTATTCAAAGCAAGAAGTCTTCTTTGTTTTACTATTTTAATATTACCTATTGAAATGGTAACAAAAGCAGGTTGCATACAAACACATAACCTGATGAGTAACTGACGTTTTAAGTTAAATACACTGTTCAACCCAGTATGAAAACATGTATCAAGTTTAATTTAAAAAGGGCTTCAACCTGTTTTGCAGAGACCCGGGAGGACCGCACTAAGAGACTGTTCCGACACTACACTGTGGGATCCTACGACAACTTCACCTCATACAGGTACAGCCTCTTTCCTTGAGCTAGCATGCTGCTGCACTGTGCAGGCCGTGTGAATTGGTGTATACTGAACTGCACAGACTGTATTGGTCATATGATCACAGAGTGCTTCCCTGCCTGAACAGGGTTAATGGAGTCCATGTGAGAAGGTGTTGGAGTGCTATGGAGCTGCTGCCATCTAAAGGCACAAGGCTGTTAGTGCACTCAGTTCTAATTGTAAAGTCCACATTAGATTATACTACGTAACTCTGTTTGCCACTTTGTTTCCGTCTGTATGTGCACTGTGCACACACATGCGTAACATGCTCTCTGCATGCATGCATGTGGGCACATGCATTGTTCTGTGCTTCATATTTATACGATTTCCTGCCAGGATGTTCTTATTTAACCTGTTTAATGTTCTAATGTTTTTTTTACTCTTAGTCCATGTCTTTCTTTTCCTTTGTGCCCTCCCTGTCTCAAGCTGACATTTATTGTGTATAAGCGTATCAGTCAGACCTCTCTTCTTAATCAAATGTGTTATCTGAGAGTGGAGTAGCAAGCTATGTGTGGTTTTGTTATGATGCAAATTTCGGCTTTAATGCCACAGTGTGTCAGTCTGAGACACAGCGCTAGTCTGAGTGAGCATTGTTTCCACCCACTTTCTCAACCTTTTATAAAATGTCAAGTTCTTGCATTCTAGGTTTTAGTTGGATTAAATGTCATCTTTGTAACCAGGGCTTTAGGTTTGTAGAATTAGCATTACCACAGTCACACACACACCTGTGATAGTGTGGTATGTGTATATTTACTTTTGGAATGGCAGGTATAGTACCTTTCAGCAATATAGTTTAGGTGAGAGCTGGGAAAATACAAACTGTTGTAAATTTCTGGCTTTCCAGATCTGCAAAACAAAAAACAAAATGAACACTGCAAAAAAATCCCAGCAGGTTACAGCTATGACACTGAGGTTTAAAGCGGTAGATGAATGTCGGATATCAATGTCGGAACAGAATACCAGTTGCACATGCAAGCCGAAGGTTGAAGTAGAACAGAAACGTATTGAGTTAACTTGCACAATTTCTTAGATAGAACAGCATTCTGAGAATTAGAATCACTAATGTCAAAGGACAGGATTTATTTTGAGGAAACATTTACCGTTTTTAAATTATTGGTCTTGGATTTTTTTTGTTGAGTTATGTAGGCGGATAGAGATTCTGAACAAGGAGAGTGAGCGTATGGCATTAATGCAGCATATTGGGGCACAGAGCAGAGATGAAAGCATAGTGGATAAAAAGGTTTGTAATGAAACAAAGCATCTCGGTGATGCTTAAACAACACTGTTTTCTGTGCATAATATTTATAGCAAAAGTGGATGGATAGGTTTTTATGAAAACAAACCTTTGACCTCCCTTCTGCAGAAAGGTTTGTTACGGATCTCCTGGCTACAGAAGCAGGAGCTCTGTGTTCCCTTGGTAAGTCTGAGAGAGTGGAGTGTAACTAAGCTAGTGGAGACTGCAGCCGCCTACTGAGTTGCAACCTGAACACTTAGCCCTCCACATCTGCCTCAGCTGTGAGGTAGGATGACTGATGCTGCTGAAATTCACAAAATACTACAAAACTCCAGGCTTTTGTCAAGGTGTTCAGGCTGTAAACTGCCAGCAGGCCCCTGAGTTAAAGTGTGGTGTCAAAAGACTGGAAAATACGCCGCCATTCTATGATCGTTTGTGTACAAGTTGAAACTAAGGAATATTGGGTTACAGCCATCTACACCTTTTTATTTCACAGTTACATTTTATTGTTCTACATTAAACATGTCTTAAACGCCTTTAGCTTTTAGCCCTATCTACATCTTTCACCATCATAAATGTAGATTAAAACCATTACAACTCATTCAACAGTACCAGTCAGTCAGTTTCAGGAGATGCGTGATGAATATTTTTTGCACACACATCCAGCCTTCATTCTGACATTCGCTTTGCTGCTAAAGACTGCTTTACTAACTCGGCTTTGGTTTTGGCTCATAGGCTTTGGGCACTGATGAGTGGCTTGAATAAATACATTTAAGTTTGTGCAGAGATGCACAGGTTAACACCATCTAACAGCCTCCACCCCTCAACACTCAGGGAAATCAGGCAGTGATGAAGTGCTCACTTTCTTTTGCCTGCTATTCCCTCTGCCATTAATCAGGGGATACTATTGCATCTCAGACATCTCCGTCAGATTTTTAGTAGAAGGCCTCCACACCCTCTGCAGCTGCAGTCTCATCTGAGGGATCAGCCAGAAGATTGATTCACTCTTAGGTTTTATCCCAAAGATACTTCAATCAAGAGGACTTCGCTCTCGCTCTCTCTCTCTCTCTCACCTGTTCATTCTCTCTCACTCTCTGTCCCTCTATCTGTGTGTGTGTGTGGCTCTCTCTTTCTCAAAATACTAGTACAACCCCTGGTAATCATGAGCTGTGCTTGCTTGGCTTTTAACTTGATTGGTTAATAGAAAAGGAAAAGAAGTACAGGTGTGTGTGTGTGTGTGTGTGTGTGTGTG